CTTAGTAATAGTCCATCTTTTATTTTCCAGACATCATCCTTTTTGGGCTCCACATATTAGGCGTTCTTTTTGGTACTGGGAATCGAACTCAGGACCCTGTGCCTGACAGGCAAGCGCTGTGCCACTCTCTCCCCAGCAGGTTCTACATATTACAGAAGCCAGGCACTGCTTGGCTCTCTGCCTGGCTTATGTCACTTCCTGTTCTCCATCTGTTCTCCTGCAGGAGACATAATTTCATTTGTCTTTATGGCTAAACAACACACCTTGTGTGTACATGTGCTACATTTTCTTTATAGCCACAGGATCATCTCTTTTTCATAATTTTGGGACAAGTAACTCGATGTAGGAAAAAACAAAACGAAAACAAACAAGAGAAGCTAGAGTTACTGGGCATGGTGGCACACGCCTGTAATTCCAGCAATCGGGAGGCTGAGGTAGGAGGATCCCCATGAGTTCAAGGACAGCCTTAACTACACAGCAAGACCTTGCTTCGAAAAGACCAGCGTGGCCAAGTGTGACAGCTCACACCTGTGACGCCGGTGCTCTGGGAGTCTGAGGAAGGAGGACCACACAGTTCAGTCTGAGCTGATGACTGGGTAGTGAAACCCAGACTCAAAATCAAAAACACCACACCTGTAACCCCAGCCCTGGGCGGGCTGAGGCAGGAGGGTTGCTGCTGAGTTTGAGGTCAATTTGGGTGACATGATGAGTTGAAGGCCAGCCTGGATCATACAGTGAGACCCTGTCTCAAACAAACAATAAAATAAATAATATGAAATAACATAGGCTGGGGTGTACCTCACTTTCAGTAACAAACAAACAGAAGGCTCACCTGGGCTACATAGCAAGACACTGTCTCAAAACAACCTAAATAAATAAACTTAGGAAATACCTTCATTTTCTCTTTTTTTTTTTTTTGGAGACAAGGTCTCACTTTGTAGTTCAGGCTGGCATGGATCTCACAGCAACCCTCCTGCCTCAGCCTCCTGAGTGCTGGCATTGCAAGGGTGCACCACCCCACCCAGAGAGGGGGGAATTTTTAAAATTATTGCACAGATATTCCTTGTTGAATGACCTACCTCCTTAACCACGGTTTGGATTTAAGACCCACGACTTGGACTTACTACCTGGCTTGTGTTTTCTACAGTGTAGTACATCTTGCTGACGTTGCCTCAGGGACTTTTTTACAGCACCCCCGCTTTACACAGGTGCTGTGCTGGTTGTGCTGCAGTTGCTCGTTCTGTGACACAGTGCGGTGTAAGAGTTCTACAAGTAAAAGCGAAGTCATCAAGCTGGAGTTTCCTTGACCGTGTCGTTGTTCTGAACAGTGTGATGTACGCGCAGAACATGATTCCTCGTTTAGTGACGATGCGTTTAACAACCGCAGCTCAGGAGGGGCGCGGGAACGGCGCTCCGTTGTTAAACGAGTCATGTTTGTATATGAAAGGAAAGGATTCTTTTTCTTTTTCTTTTTTGGTCCTGGAGATTGAGCCCAAGTCCTCACACATGCCGGGCAGGTGCTCCACCACTGAACTACACCCTCAGCCCTTTGGGTTTTATTTTGCTAAACTGCCCAGATTAGTCTCAAACTTCCCATCCTTTTGCCTCAGCCTCCTGAGTAGCTTGCTGGGATTAACAGTCGTGCACCAGTAAACCCAGCTGAGAATTTTTTTTTTTTTTTCTTTTTTGAGATAGGGTCTCATTATGCAGTTCAGGCTGGCCTTGAACTCACTTTGTAGTCCAGACTGACCTCAAACTCACAAAGATCCTCCTGCCTCAGCCTCCCAAGTGCTGAGCTTACAGGTGTGCGCCACCATGCCTGGTGAGAATTTTGAAATAGTTGAGTAGGATAAGTTCTGGCTTACTCTGCTATCAAGCCAGTTACCAATAAAATTTTACACAAACGTTTGTCATCTGTAAAATGGAAAAATTTTATTTTATTTTTTCACAGAGAGTTAGAACAAACCAAGTGTGGTGGTGCACACCTGTTATCCCAGGACTCAGGAGGCTGAGGCAGGAGGATCCTTTTGGGTTTGGGGCCGGCTTGGTTTCCAAGTTGGTTTCAGGGCGGGCTTCACTTGCGTGGTTGGCCCTTTTTTCAAAAGGCCGGAAAAAAAAGAAAAAAAGAAAGAATTTGGGATTTCCCTGCCCCAGCCTCCCAGGACCCAGGACGCAGGGATTACAGGGGTGCACCGCGACCAGCCTGATTCTGCTTTCTTTACATCCTGGCTCCAGAGCTCCTCTCTGTCCATCATCAAATTCCCTCACAGGTGCTGTTGGCAAAGTCTCCAGCAACTCTTTCTTTTCCCTTCGAGACGCTGTGTTCTGTGTGTGTGTGTGTGTGTGTTTGAGACAGGGTCTCTATGCAGTTCAGCCTGGCCTTGAGCTCACTTTGTAGCCCACGCTAGTCTCGAACTCGCAAGGATCCTCCTGCCTCAGCCTCCCGAGTGCTGGGATTACAGGTGTGCACCACCACGCCCAGCGCAAGACACTGTTGTAAAGGAGTCGCCGGCTTCGCCAAGTGTCCTGAGACACACCTCGCACAGAGGTCACGGAGAGGCGCTCCTAACTGCACCCCGCGACAGAAGTCTGCGGATAGGCACGGCAAGAGCTCAGCGCTCCCAGGCTGGCCTTGAACTATGCGAGCAGCGGGAGCCAAGGGGCGGGGCGGGGCGGGGCGGGGCGGGGCGAGGGCGTGCCTCTGGGTGGCAGGAAGTGGGAGGAGACTGTTCCTGGAGGCCCCTCGGACCCGGGCCACTTGGGAAAAGGAAGGGTTTTGTGTTTATCAGTTCCACCTTCGGGGCTGAACATGGAGAGCGCGCGGGGCAAGGAGGTAAGGAAGCCCGCGTGGGTTCGCTTTCCGGCTTTGCGGGCCTGGGGTTTGCCCTCAGCGCGCTTGATCTTTCCTTTGGGGAGAAAGAAAATGCTTTAGAATTAAAAAAAAAAAGTCCTAGCCCCGGCTGCTGCTGGTGTCAGGCTGGAAAGGTAAAGAGGGAGAAAGCTGCCGGGTGTGGTGGCGCACGCCTGTGATCCCAGCACTCGAGGCTGAGGCAGGAGAATCGCTGCGAGTTCGAGACCAGCGTGGGCTACAAAGGGAGCTCAGGCCAATTTGAACTACACAATGAGACCCTGCCTCTAAAAACTACAAAAAGGGAAGGAGAAGGCTCCCTGCGGGACGGCAGGCCGAGCTCGGAGGCTCGGATCCATCTTTGGGTGCAGCGGAGTGGCGGGGAGCTGTGGCTAGGATTTGAGGACGAGGCGGTTGAGCGAGCACTGGAACAGCACGAACGCCCTCACTTCCTTAGACGGCCACGGGGCCTGGCACCTAGCTGCCCCCCGTATCCCAGGGCCTGAGCCCTGCGGATGACCACGGGCCGGGTCTGGTGACCCCGCCACGCCGGCCCCTGAGTTTTCTTGGCCGGAGAAACCCGCCCTGGGCCCCCTTTGCCAGAACCGGGCGGTTTTCAGCTTTCTGTGTTTTCTCGACTTTTGTGAGGCCCGAAAGTGCCTCCTTAGCGAAGGGGTTATGCAAATGTGAGCTCTGAATATAAATGCGAGGGCGCTGCAGGGAAGCAAACGTGTCATACACATGTTAATTTGTCTCCGCTCCCACCGTGGGCGCAGATTGGGTGGGCTCGGCCGAGGTTTCCTTTCTGCCTAAGGGGCCTGTGGCCTGTTTGTCGGAGCCTCAGCCCCCTCGCTGTAAAATTAAAGTAGCTGTGTGGCCTTGGCCGCGGGGACTGCGGGGGGAAGGAGCACGTCCGCTCGGTACCTGCCCCAGGCAGAGGCTCAAATATATTAGTTTCTCGGCAACCCACTTACGCTCACTGGGCCGCACCTTTGTTCCTTTAATTCTTGTGTCTGCTTTTTCGGAGACGGCGCCTTGCAGTGCAGTTCGAGCTGGCCTCCAGCTCCGGCTGCTCCGCTTGCCTCAGCCTCCCGTTGCTGGGATTACAGGCTGCGCCACCACGCCCGGCTCTTTAGTCCTGTTACTCCGTGTTTGCTGTGAGTCTACCCTAAGAGGGAAGGAAAAACTCCACCCTGTACGATCAAAGAGCCATAGGCAGCGATCGAATCCAGGAGCACAAAGCAGATGTCGGCAGGGCCGGGCGTGGTGGCGCCTGTCTGTATCCCAGCACTCGGGAGGCTGAGGCAGGAGGATCTTTGCGAGTTGGAGACCAGCGTGGGCTACAAAGTGAGCTCAAGGCCAGCCTGAACTGCATAGCGAGACCCTGTCTCAAAAAGACAAAAAGAATCTCAGCAGACAAGTGGAGAGAGCAAGGCTATGGCACGTGGGAGATTTGACCCTGGAAGGCGTGGAGAGAGGGTATTTGAGAATGTAAATAGAGCCGAGCTTGGTGGAGTGTGTCTGTAATCCCAGCGATTGGGAGGCTGAGGCAGGAGGATCACTTCGAGTTTGAGGCAGGCAAATGCACCAACCACTGAGGCCTCAGACATGGAGTTTTCTTAGGGTAAGTTGGGTCTGCCGGGACCCAGCAGAGCAGTGACTGACCAGACCCTCTGCCGCAGGGAGCTGGCACTGGGCGGTCAGCAGAAGAGCAAGGAGGGGACCGGCAGCCGGGCGCCTCGAGGAGCTCAGCAAAGGGACTGAAGCGGAAGAAGTGTGCGGGAGACGGCAGAGGTAAGAGGCCTAGGAGTCCTCCGGCCCTACTTCCTCAGGTCTCAGAAGCCGGAGGAATAGAACAAACGGGAGCAATTTCCATCCCGGCTGCTGGCGGCCCCTTGGCCGCTTTCTCGCTCGGCGCTGAGGACCCAGCCGTGGGTGGGGCTTAGGGGACAGATAGCTGTAGTCTGAGAGCCCGCCCGTGAAGCCCCGCTTCTGTTTTGAGAGGAATCGGTGGGAAGAGGGACCTGACGGGCAGTAGGCAGGGGGTGGGCAGAGGACTGGCCGCGACTTGCACTGAATCATTCGGTGGGACCTGCACCCAGCCCGCTGGGCACTGCGCCCGGGCATCCCGGGCCCTGAGTGGTGCAGTGACGGGCTTCCTCGTGTGCCCAGGGCGGCTGCGGGCTGCCAGCTGAGGCACCCGGGAGCCAGGGAGCTGAGGGGCACCGGCCTGACGGGTGGTGCTGCGCGCACTTGTGGGTACTGCACTGCCAGCTGTTTACTTTGCTCGGTGCCGAAACGAGACCGATGTCAAGTCTCAGGCGCCCGTCCGTCCGTCCGTCCCCGGTAGCAGTGCCAGCGCCCGCGAGGGGCCGGGATGTGCAAGCTCAGGCTCTGAGCTCAGCCCTGGCCCTCGGGGGTCCTGCGGTCCTTGCAGATCATTTACCTGTCCAGGACATCGGACCATGAGAACCGAGAGTGACTGCTTTTCAAACTCTAGTAACCCCCAGGAGTGGTGGCGCATGCCTGTAATCCCAGCACTCGGGAGGCTGAGGCAGGAAGATCATTGCCAATTTGAGACCAGCCTGGTTACAAAGTGAGCTCAAGGCCATCTTGAACTGCATAGCAAGACAAAAAAAACAACTCTAGTAACCGCTGCAGACACTAATCATACTAATTCTGTTCCGTTCTCCCTCTCCCTGTCCAGAGAAGAAAAAACAAGAACAAGGCAGTGACGCACTAAGTCCGCGTAAGAAGATAGCCATCCCCCCGCTCCCCGAGGAGCTGCCCCCCATCAACCTGATCCACCGGGACGTCCTGCGGGCCTGGTGCCAGCAGCTGAAGCTCAGCAGCAAAGGCCAGGTGCGGGCCGGGGCCGGGGCCATGGCAGGGGTGGGCAGGAGGCAGGCCCGCACTGACCGCCTTTCTCCTCTGTCTTAGAAACTGGAAGCGTATAAGCGGCTCTGCGAATACGCCTACCCGCAGCAAAAGGTAAGGCGCATTCCTTTGCTTGTGCCTGCTGCTCGCGGCCGGAAGATGGAAACGCGCCCTCCCCGCGCCCCGTTATTTTGAGACAGGCGCTTGCTAAACACATTGCCCGTGTAGAACTAAAAGTTCAGTCCTACAGCATCCACCTGCCGCGTGGCTGGGATTACAGGTGCGTGCCTTGTGCTCGCCAGAATTTTAAAGAAAAATCCACAGGGAGAAATGTGAGTTGTCGTGCTAACTACCTCTGTTAACAGCACAAGGTGACAAGAGCCCCAGGCATGGTGGCGCACCTGTGACCCCAGCACTCCGCAAGCTGAGGCAGGAGGGTCCTGAGGGGGCCAGAGATACAGAGATAGACCGTGTCTCTAGGAAAAGAAAACAAGCCAGTGACCAAGGCCAGGCATGGTGGTCACCGCGTGTAACCCTGCTATGCAGGAGTCTGAGGCAGCGGGGATGCCAGGCGGAGGCTAGCCTGGGCAGTTGAGCCCTGTCCTACCTCACAGTGCAATTGTTTTTTAATTAATTTTATTGCTACACTTTTGACCTACATACGATATTCACCACAGGGAATTTGCACCTGTATGTGGCCTATCTTCATTTTTTTCCCATTATGTTTTCCTTTCAATCCTTCTTCCTTCCCTTTACAAAACTTTGGTTTTTTGTTGTTTTGGTTTTTTTCCGGTACCAGGAATCGAACTCACGACCTTGTGCTTGCCAGGCAAGCGCTGTGCCGCTGAGCTAAATCCCCAGCCCCTAGGCAAAACTTTCTTTCCATTGTTTTCCTTCCATTCTTTTTAAATTTTTTATCCCTATTCCCTCCCCCCTCCCTTGTTTCCCTCCCCACTTGAACATTTTCTTCCTTCCCAGTATCTGTCATCCACCGTGTTCCTTATTTATCTTCTGGGTTTCTCACACAATGGAAAAAAATGTGTCTCATTTATGTCACTTAAAATTATGTTCTCAGCAGCTGGGCGTGGTGGCGCACACCTGTAATCCCAGCACTTGGGAGGCTGAGGCAGGAGGATCCTTGCCAGCCTGGGCTACAAAGTAAGTTCAAAACCAACCTAAACTGCATAGTGAGACCTTGTCTCAAAAACACTAAATAAGTAAATGAAAAATTATGCTCTCAAGATACATCCAATTACCTACAAATAACTCAAGTTTATCTTCTTTTTTTTGAGAGAGGAAGTAGGGGTTTCATTATGTGGCCCAGGCTGGTCTTGAACTCACAGTGATCCTCCTGGCACAGTAATCAATCCCGAGTTCTGGGGTTTCAGGTATGTGCCACCATGCCCAGCAAGTGTACCCTTTATGGCAGTGTAATACTCCACTGTATATAAAAATTACGTATTTACCCGTTCATGCCCTGACGGGCTGCTTCCATGGTTTAGCGATTGCTGTGCTGCTATAAATGTGGGTGTGCGTATACCACTTTTAACACTTTCTGGAGGATACCAAGAAGAGAAATAGCTGGGTTAAATGGAACCTCTAACCCTAGTTTACTGAGAAATCTCCAGACTGATCTCCACAGTGGTTGCACCAGTCTGTACTCCCACCAACACTGCAGAAGCGTTCCTTTTCCCCACAGCCCCTCTGGCATTTGTTATTGGTTAATTTCTTGGCTCAAACAGCCGTTCTTTCTGGGGTGAGATGGAATCTTAGCCATTTCTATTTCCTCCTATGAGAAGTATCTCAGGTGCCATATTTCCCATGCAGTTGGGGTTTTGCTCATGAAGTGTTTCTCTATACCTGTGTCTTCAGGCATTCTACCTATTGTATTTTCCAGCAGATTAAGTATTTCTTGTTTTTTTTTTTTTTGGTACCGGGAATCGAACTCAGGACCTTGTGCTTGCCAGGCAGGTACTTGTACCGCTGAGCTATGTCCAAGTATTCCTGTTTTAATATTTACATCTTTGATCCATTTTGACTTCGGTGCATGGTGATAGACACAGGTCTAGTTTTAGTCTTCAGCATGTGGAAAGGCAGTTTTTCCAGCAGCATTTATTAAAGAGACTATTTTTCTTCCAGTGAACAAACATGTTTGGCCCCTTTGTCAAAGATAAAAGTGGCTGAGTGTGTTGAAGTTGTTTCTGCATCTTGTACTATGTTCCACTGATCCTTGGGCCTGTTTTTTTGGCAATACCATGCTGGTTTTATCATAGTAGCTTTATAGCATAATTTCAAGTTGGGGTCACAGTACAGTTTTTTTAAAGGGCTGAGGCTTAAGGGTGGGGCAGCTGCCCCTGAGCCACGCTGAGCTGCCTGATGCACTTGGTTCAATCCCTGGTCTGAAAACAGAAAGCCTGGGCTCTTGGTGCACACTTGTCGTCCTCGAAGTCTGAGGCTGAGACAGGAGGATTGTCATAATTTCAAGGCCAGCTTTGGATACAGAGTGAGCTCAAGGCCACCCTGAACAACACAATTCAGTGAGACACTGTCTCAAAAGAAAAAATAACGAGTAGAGGGGCTGGGGATTTAGTTCAGCCGCAAAGCGCCTGCCTGGCAAGCCCAAGGTCGTGAGTTCAATTCCTGGTACTGGAAAAAAAACAAAAAAGAAAAAAGAACAGCTACACCACAGACTTCTTTTTGTTTGTTGGTTTTTTTTTGTTGTTGTTGTTGGTTTTTCTCCGGTGCCGGGAACTGAACTCACAACCTCGCGCTTGCCAGGCAGGCGCTTTGCTGCTGAGCTAAATCCCCAGCCCCTCTTTTTGTTTGTTGGATTTGTTTGTTTTTGCAGTACAAGGAGTTGAACACAGGGTCGTTGCCCTGAACTACATCCCTATCCCTTTTTATTTTGAGACAGAGTCTTGCTCTATGTTGCTCAGGCTGGGCTCAAACTTTTGATCCTCCTGCCTCAGCCTCCCAGTGTGCTGGTGTTATAGGGCTGTACTCTGAAGTAATATTTATTAGGTGTGACACACTGGTGTGAAATACGTATACATTGTGAAATGGCCTAAATGAGCTAATTAGCATGTACTTTACCACAGATATTTTTTGTGGTAAAAACGTTTAAAAATCTACTAGTGGGCTGGGGATAAAGCTCAGTGGCATAAATGCCTGCCTGGCAAGCGTAAGGTGGTGAGTTCAATCCCTGGTACTTCCCCACACAAAAAAAATTACTAGTAAATTTAAGCATATGGTACATTGTTATTAACTTGGGTACTGTGCAAGAGATTTTTTTTTTCTTTCGAGGTGGTGGGGATTGAACCCAGAGGACTGGTGCTGAGCTGCACAACCAGCCCTTTTTTTAAAATTTTGAGACCGGTCTTGGTAAATTGCATAATTGCTCAGGCTGGGTTTGAATTTGAGTTCTGGGATTATAGGCGTGTACCGCCACACCTGGCTAAATTTATTCCTTTTACCTAAAACTTTGTAACCTTTCACAAATACCCTCAAGCCTTCAGGCCATACTTCTGATATGGTCTTCATGAATGGTGTATTTAATTTTTTGTTTGTTTTTTGAGTTGCTTATTTGTTTGTTTGAGACAGGGTCTCACTATGTAGTTCAGGCTGGCCGTGAAATCACCGTGTAGCCCATGCTGGCCTTGAACCGGCGGATATCCCCCTGCTTCAGCCTCCTGAGCGCAGGGATGACAGGCGCGCTCCACCACACCCTGCAGGCTGGGTTTGACTTTGGGATCCTCCTGCCTCCCCTTCCTACCTGCTGGAACGGCCAGGGTGCGCCCACACCCCCAGCTGCGTTTCGGTCTTATCACGTGATCCTAATGTTTAGCACCATTCGCAGAACATTCTCAACACAGCCAACGAGGTCCGGCTCAAGGCGCCGGGCAGACCGAAGAAGCGGACCCTGGAAAGCCGCGAGGGGAGGATGTCTTCGGTGGGAGCCGACCTTCCTGAGGGGGCCCTGCTCCCCGAGGGCCAGCTGGCTGCCCTGGAAGAGCCCCCTGCTCTCTATGAAGAGGTCAGCACGAGCGTGGTGACCATGGCCACTCCGGAGTCCGTGCTGGCCTCCTGGGGCCGAATCGCAGCCGGCGCCGGGAGGACGGGGCCAGTGGAGCCGCCGGCAGAGGCCTGCGGTGAGTCCCGGGCGACCCCGTTGGTACCGACCTCAGGTGTTCGGTTGCTCTGTTTGCGGGGCTGAGGGTGGAACCTCGGGCTTCCGAGCTTCGCGCTGAGCTGCGGCCACAGCCCTTCACTTGCTGTTTTATTTTGCTTTTGAGACAGGGTCTC